TGGAGCTAATATAATATGCTTACGTTGACTCTCGCTCAAGCCTCCGCACAATAGAGCTAGTGTTTTTAATGGTTGCATCGATCCTACTCAGTATATCCATCATGCTTTCCTGCTGTTTATCTTCTTTTTTTCCTGAAGTATCCGGAGACGGGGCGTCAGCATGCTGCCGATCCTTTTCATTAACTGATCTATAGCTACTTCCTTCTACTGGAATGCGGATTGACGTTTTCAAATGCAACGCATCCATTGACCATAATTTATTTGCTCGCACGATTGATGATATCTGGAAAAAGACATCTGAGCATGACACCAGAATGAAATATTGTTTGGCTCACAGAGCAATCATTTTTCAAGGCTATCCCTTGCAAAGTATCATCAGGCTGTACATAGTAAATGATATACTTCTTTGGAAGTGTATCTGCAGTAGGTGGCTGCGTAGTCCCATAGCGACGAACCTCAAGCAGAAAAAGACTGTATAGAAACCGAAGAATTCTAAATATTGAGTGCAAATTTAAAAATGAACCTTGTTATAACCGCACAAGAATGTATGTTCGTCTGGTTGACTGACGCTTGGCGCATAATAATAGTTCATTCTGTCCCATCGTGAATTCAGATCCAGGGCGTTCTTGACTGTCGTTTTTGCAGTTTTAGAGGAAATAAGGCTGAAGTGGGTTCAATCAATGCTGGATCGACATGCACCGTGAGTGATGACACGAGCCAGATGAATTCAAAAATTTCAGACAACTACGCGATAAAGATAAATATACAGATAGCTAGATAAGATATAGATAGATAGAGGGGGATTCTGAACTCAGTTTATGTTATGCATCAGTTGATAGTAGAGATGAGGTAGCAATGTTGCGACTTGAGAATAAGTCAATGCTTTTATTTTCCGAAGAGTTCTCTGGATGAAAACCGAAGCTTTACTGCTGGACAAGATTATTGCGACCACTATAGAATTTCCGATAGTTATTCTTCATTTTAAACATATCTTTACAATCTTCCAGTAAGATTAATCCTATAGAAGTTCGAGTAGCGTGAATTCATATCCAAAAGAAAACAACATAGGCGGTAATATAATAAAGATTTAGTCACAGAATTATCAAACTGCAATGGCATTCACTGAGGTACATAGAGTAACAGGCAGTGTGTACAAAGTTTAAGCTTAGTTTACGTTATGTGATAAGAGAACATGGGAACGACCAAAATGTTCTTACTCCTAAAACATAATCTATGCATGTAAGTCGTTATGTGAGAAAAAAAACCCTTGCCAAGAAGAAACAAATTCGACTACCAAATTGAACTTGCTGAATTCGACGCTATCTCACAATTTGGTAGTAAAAATTCCATTTTGACTCGCTGAGAAAAATTGCCGAGAATCTTACTTGAAATGGCCTTCACATACAATCGCTCTTCACGACGCGTCTTATTCTAGATAAGGAAAGGTGGCAGAAGATCAAGTCGAAAATTCACATCAATTTTCGCCTAAGATGTTAATTGGCTTCACAGTAGAGCAGTCTACCCTTTTCGCACAGCTTCCTATTGTGTAGCTGTAGATTTTGTACACGCATCTCGAAAAAGAACTTTACCTTTGCATGTAAGTTTACCATAGGAAAACCGATGATATACGGTACACCCCTAACCCGCATTAAAGGCAGTGTCCGCGTAAAACCAGCTACACTTCAAGTTTTCGGAATGCCAAGATTCAAAAACAGTCGAACGTGGACAATAAGAACTTCAGTTCTTATCGGACAATGATGGCCGACACTAATTAAGCCATCTCAAATTCAGGCAAATAATTCGTGCTACTAAACAATCATCCTCTCTCTGGACGTTCAGGTCGACCTGCCTCTTTTAGATCACTCCGTCCACTAAGTGATTTCCCTCAGCATAGCTTGTCTGGCTTCCCTCTGAAGCAGTTCTTCAGCAAGCAAGGTCGATTGTTTTGGGGACAGAAGTGAAAATCTGGAATCGCTCTCTTCTATTCACCGCGGTTAATCTAAAGAGGACCCAAATCTGCGTTTTTAGACAATTTCACGACAGTCGAAGTTCCGT